GGTCTTCGCGCGAAGGAGATTGCATTCGAGACGTGCCGGCTGTGGCTTGCCTGGGGCGCCGAGGCTCGTGTGGCGATCACACTGCTTGAGTGAGGGAGCTGATTGCGTGGAGGAACCTTGCGCAGTTACACGCAAACACGCACTCATATAGCAGAAGGTGAGACTTAAGCATATAGATACAAGCAATCATATCTCTCTGTCTCTCTCTCTCTGTCCCTCTCTTTCTCTCCTTATAGATATATATATGTGTGTGTGTGTGTGTGTGTATGTATGTATAGAGAGTGTACATAAGCACACATACATATTATATATATATATATATATATATATATATATATATATATATATATATATATATATATATATATATGTATATATATATATATACACATACACAATATGTATGTATGTATATACATATATATGTGTGTGTGTGTCTGTGTGTGTTTGTAATGAGAGTGAGGGAAAGAAAAAAAAAATATATATATATCAATATATATATATATATATATATATATATATATATATATATATATGTGTGTGTGTGTGTGTGTGTGTGTGTGTGTGTGTGTGTGTGTGTGTGTGTGTATGTGTGTATATATACATATATATATACACACACACACACATATATATATATATATATATATATATATATATATATATATATATATATATACATATATATATATATATATATATATATATATATATATATATATATATATATATATATATATATATATATATATATATATATATACATATATGTATATATATATAACATAAATATATAATATATATATGTATATACATACATATGTATATATATATATACATACATATATATGTATATATATATATATATATATATATATATATATATATATATATATATATATATATATATATATATATATATATAACATAAATATATAATATATATATATATGTATATATCTATATATATATAAATATATATATATATATATATATATATATATATATATATATATATATATGTATATAATCTCTCCAAATATGAAGTGAGAAGATAATATATTCGTCTAAGGGTATATATATATTTTTTTTTATGAATTCATATAGTACCAGAATCAGTTTCAATGACGAAGATGCATCTGGATGTAGTCATACATGTATTGAAAAAAAAAACATTTAAGTGTAACCATTTTATTGCATAAAACAATATCGATACACAAAGCGATCGTATGGATAAAATCACAAAACATAAAAAAGAAAACAAATGAAAAGAAGAAGACGAAGAAAAGGAAGAATTAAGAGAATTAAGAGAAAACCGAAGAAAAACGACGAATGAAAAAAAAGAGAGAGAGAGAAAAAAAATCTATGTAGAATCAGAGAGAGAGAGAGAAAAAAAACGAAACGAAACGAAAACGACAAAAAAAAAGAAGAAAAATCCTGATCATCCTCTATCTTCGATTATCTCCGCATCAGCATCCTACACAGCAGCTTCAGTGCTCGCAGATGAATCCTGAGGCGATAGTCCTGTCGTCTGCGTATACGAGATACCGTCGCCCATGCACGGCACTGGCTGGCGCTAGCCTTGTGAAACCCCTCTGGTTCTGGGAGGGTTCGTCAGGAAGCCAGCTGTGGGGCGGAGGAAGGGAGTAAATAAACAGGGAGTAAAGAAGGGGAGAAGAGGAGAAAGATAATATGAGAAAAGGAAAGGAGAAAATAAAAGAGGGATGGGGGAAAAAAGGACAAGAAAAAGACTCAATATCCTTTCAAAGACAATATAACAAAGACAAAAGTGGAAAAAAAAGAAAATATACTCACATGTTAGACTTAATGCTCAGTTTGGAACCATCAACCCAGCGCCAGTCTTGGTTGGCACCGTGACCACCAACCCAGTAAGAATATCTATCACCAGTTTCTTCTGCAAAAGTAAAAAAATATATATATATATATATATGAATGGGTAGAAAATCAGTGAAAGGGAATAATGACACACGATGGGTAAAGGGTTTCGAATTAATATTCATCACCTCAATTCATGACGTGCGTAGCAATCATCTCAGCGAAGAGAACTGATAGATATTTTGGTGTTTTTATTCATGAATTTGGCCTCTCGTTTATTCATTTTTCATCGACTTATTTTACTCGTCATTTCTGTCGGTACTTTTATCAATCTCTTCCAAATAGGGTCAAACTTAATGAAAACAAGTAATAAAAGCAATGTAATATACACACACTCACAATTATCATCCTCAACTACAACAGTAACAAGAAATAACATATAATAGAAAACCAAAAAATGAAACTGCAAACTATATATCATATACATCTAATTAATTTTCAGTTAGTAAAAAGGGAGAACTTTCTTGGCTTTGAAAAAAAAAATCTATACCTATCCAACTATTTTTTTTTTAATCTTTATATACCTAGTTGTGTCGTTTTATTTCGCATAAAAAAGTTAACAAAAAAACCGTTGAGTACTTAATATGCCAGTATATATATATAT